AGCTCCACTGGGAGCTGAGATCTTAGGGGGGGCGCGATCCGCCCCCCCTTCCACTGGGCGTAGTACTCGCAACCCTTCCACTGCGCGTGTTAACCCTCGCAGGCCCGGGGGGGGGCGTTTTTCGCCCCCCCCCCTGGCGAATATTTGCGATAGCTCCCGAACGCTTAGGGATAGGAAGGCGAAACTTTCAGTACCTTTTCTCCCATCAATTTGACATCTTCTGAAGTAAAAAATTTGGACCTAGCCCCCTTGATGACGTCACAAGGTCCATTTTTCTAGACCCCTGCACGGCAAACTTCGGCGTCACAGACGCAAACTTCAAATAGCTGCTAAATATAGAGTTTTAGAGATAAAGACAAATTACGAGCACGGTTGTGTAGCGTTTGACCTAGAGAAAAATAGAAAAATAGTTTTGGTGACCTGAGGTCAGAGGTCAGGTCAACGACCCCGAAATGTGGTTTTAGTTTTTCGCAAATAACTTCGACAAAAATGGTCCTAGAGCTACGGCAGTGGTACCATCGCATTCGCCTTGTCAAGCCGCGTCGAATGATATATATTTTGTTCGGAAAAGGTCATATTTTATGTTGACCTCATGTGACCTCGAATGACCTCTGGTTGACCTTGACACATGAAAGGTCGTTTATGATGGATTTGTACCCGCTGATCACGAATCTGGCATCTATTTTCCTCTAAGCCTTCATTTAGAGCTTCCGGTGTGCAAAATTGTCTTATTTATTATTACTAACTTGAATCAGTGAAATAGCCTCTAGCAGGGATACTCTTCTGTGACCTTGACCTTTGAGCAGCCTTGTATCGTAAGATGAACCATAAATAGGGAACTGATAAGCCTCAAAACATTTCAAAACATCTTGGAAGTTAGCACGCAAGATATGCGAAAAAGTGCCAAGTTTGAGGTCAATTTTGAGCGTGACCTTGACCTTGACCTTTCACTTTGAGCACATTTTCAGAATCCTCAGATTCTCTTCTTTCGTTTGACAGCCAATTTTGCCGGTTTGATGCAGCCTGCCGTCCTCTAGAAGGCTTACTTTGAGATCACTACACATGTGGCGGTTTTTGCCTTTGACCTTGACCGCTGACCTTGAAAATTGACCTGAGGTCAAAAATTTTAGGTGCATTAGAATTGTCTCGTAAGGTCCTTTCGTTTGGTATCGCTTTTGTTTCCGTAGCTATCTTATTTACGGAGTTAGACAGGGGGGGGGGGCGAAAAACGCCCCCCCCCGGGCTGCGGTGGTTGGGATTACCCCCCGGGCCCGGCCGGGTTAACCCTCGCCGGACCTATTGGTTTTCTACATACGCGCCGGCCGAGGGGTTGGGGGGGGGGGTACGACCCCCCCCTCGCCGTTTCGCCCCTGGTGGAGCTAGCGCGTCGCGGAAAAAACGAGCGTGTGCGCCGTTACGAGACGCAGAGATTGGTACCCGATTTTAAGGTCCCAGGTCAACCGGTGACCTCTGAGGTCAGGTCAAGTGCCCCAGGGTACGGTTCAGTTTTTGGTGAATAACTTCGCAAAAAACGGCCGCAGAGCCGCGAGTTTGGCAGCATCGTGTTCGCCTCGCTCAGGCGCGTCGAATGATATACTTTTTGTCCGGGTCAGGTCAACTTGGGGTGTTGACCTCAGGTCAAGGTCAGGTCAGCACCCCCAGGTCACGAAGTTGGTCGAAAGAGGTCATGTCGCATATCATTCGATTCGGCAGGTCTTCCTGAGTCTATTGGTGGCTTTCTCGACTCGCTAGCTTAATTTGATCAAGAGTTATTGACGAAAAACTAATATGACATTGATGACGTCATAAATGACGTCACGCAAGGTCAACATTGCAAAAGTGACGCATCTAACCTTGCAAGGAGTGCATCAAATCACGATTCTGTGTGCTTGAGATAGTTGGAGATCGTTCCCGGCGCCAGAATAGCAGTTTTCATTTTTCCCCATTGACTTATAATGGTGAGGTCACGAAAATGACCTGACCCCATATGACCTTTAGGAAAAATCCGAGATATACAAGTTGTGACACTCATAATGGATACTAGATCCTGCAAGTTTCATTCCCTGTGACATCTCCTCTGGCAGTGAGGGCGTTGCGAAGTTGCGACATCTGAAGACCGTGCAGAGGTTCACTTATGACGTCATAGGTCAGTGACCTGACTTGACCCAAAAATGAGGTAGGTGTCAAAAGATGCGGCTTGGATCAAAGGTCAGGTATGCCAAGTTTCAGCTCTCTATCGCCAGCGTGTTCGGAGCTATCGCGAAAAAACCCTATGGGGGGGTGGGCGGCACCCGCCCCCCCCCCCCCCACCTCGGCCGGCGAGGGTTAAAATTGAGCTCCATAGCTCCATTTTTGGTGAAGTTTTAGCGAAAAAAAACTGCTCAAAATTTATGACAAAATTTTCAAACCCATTTTTTTTGCTGTTATAGACCACGCAGAGTAAAACGAAGGCCCCATTGGATTCCCCGTGATAAGCCGCGTCGAACAGACATGCTTTTTATGCAAAAATATCAACTTTGAAATTTGACCTTTATAACCTGGCCTTGACCTTACCTCCACCAGAACGGAACCTAAACCGGCCCTAATGGTCGTTTAACCCACACGATTGAATTTGAAATGTAAAATTGGCCTAAACCATGTATTGCACGACCCCAGCGTAGCTGGGTCCGTATTGTGACCCCTTATGACATGACTTCTGTGACCTGACCTGGCATCAGTTACCTCCTAGGCAGCATATGATGTATTAAGCGATCAACGCTGCATCGATGATTTTCGATTACATGCCTTTTATTCGATGTTATTAAGTATTCCTTAGAAGGCCCGTAATCGGTGAAAAATAAAACCTTTGACCTGACCTGTGACGTCATCGGTTCCACCTAGGTCAACGAAACTTTGTCACAAAGTAGCTCCCCGGTGGTGCTATCGAACGCCGGTTGAATGTTCGAAATCGGTTGGTAACTTTCTGAGATCCTACGGGGGGGGGGGGGCGAAACGGCCCCCTCCCACTTCAATGGATGGTACTGGTAGGGTCCACCAATAACCGAACGGGCGCGGATTAAGTCGTTAGTTGTACACTTCAACTTCCGAATCATTGTGATATGGTCTGCTCTTGCGTCTGCAAAGGCCACTTGCCAAAAATAATAATCTGAGTGCCATTGTAGATGGGGGTTGCGCGCCGGTCGGGGATGGATCATGGAACGGCTGGTCAATCGGCCCGGGAGCATATGGCCTACAGTTAGACTTCGTAGGTATGTAGACGTAGGTATGTGAGTGAGGCTGGTACACTCGGGGGCAGATTGATGTTCCACCACTCCCTACCCATCGGGCTCCCATGGCTCAGCACTGGCTGCTGCCAGTGGCAGCACTGGCACTGGCAGGCAGTGCTGAGCAGTGCTGAGGGCAGGCAACACTGGCAGCAGCCAGTGCTGAGCCATGGGAGCCCGATGGGTAGGGAGTGGTGGAACATCAATCTGCCCCCGAGTTACCGCTGTCGGAGACCAGGCGACGTTATTGCGGCCGTAAAGAGGCAGTTTGTTGGGCTCAGCAGGGTATCTTTGGGCGGCTGAGCCGGCAAATATCACGGCATACGAGTATAACGCTGCACCTAAAGCTGCAGGTGTGACATAAATCTGCTCATGGGACTCGATTGCTTTACCCAAACTAAAGCCACGCGATAGCATGTGTCTAGTGTACTGCTGGGCGCAGACCAGAGTCGGTGGCTCACAGGGCCTTATGTCAGCGAATGTGGCTGGCAATCAGCTCAATCACTGCAGCCACGGAGCCCCATCGTGGCGCCATAGCCTCTTACCATGCTATTGTGCAGCTGGGGCGGGGACTTTATTTTATTTTTAAATGTTTGAAATACCGATATGATACATTGAAGTGGGAAGCTTTCGAAAAGGTATTCGGTTTTTTTCTTCAGCCTATCTTTCAAGCACATTTTGTTAAGCATATTTCTGAAAAGGATGTATATTTTTAGTGCCCTGTAGACTGGTTGAGAAAGAAAGACAAGCTTCTTTCGAAAGTTTCCGTCAAAGAAACAAACATGGCGTCTGAAGCAATTTAAAAGACGTGCGTACTAATGCTTATTTATTGCCCACCTCATATTTCATAATATATATATATATATATATATATATATATATATATATATATATATATATATATATATATATATATATATATATTGTAAATACACAATGTGTACGCCTAGCAGTGTCTGTTCCTTCCTTGTAAAGCCATGGATGAACCAGCACTGTGCTAGAAGTTCAGGGCAAACCGTGTATTTTGTACGAATGCGTGAGAACCTAGGAATTGTTATGTAGTGAAGTGTGCTTTTCAGTGTACGCTACGGTACCGTGTTTTACTGTTCCACTGCATTACTGCACTGCACACTGCACAGCTCTAACCTGGCTCCGTTCAGTGGTCGGTACGGCTCTGTCACGGCTCCGTTTAGTGGTCGGTACGGCTCTGACACGGCTCCTGTCAGTGGTCGGTACGGCTCTGACACGGCTCCGGTCAGTGGTCGGTACGGCTCTGACACTGCTCCGTTCAGTGGTCGGTACGGCTCTGACACGGCTCCTGTCAGTTGTCGGTACGGCTCTGACACGGCTCCTGTCAGTGGTCGGTACGGCTCTGACACGGCTCCGTTCAGTGGTCGGTACGGCTCTGACACGGCTCCTGTCAGTGGTCGGTACGGCTCTGTCACGGCTCCTGTCAGTGGTCGGTACGGCTCTGACACGGCTCCTGTCAGTTGTCGGTACGGCTCTGACACGGCTCCTGTCAGTGGTCGGTACGGCTCTGACACGGCTCAGGTCAGTGGTCGGTACGACTCTGACACGGCTCCGGTCGGTGGTCGGCACGGCTCTGACACGGCTCCTGTCAGTGGTCGGTACGGCTCTGACACGGCTCCGGTCGGTCCGAAGGTCCCGGTCGGTCCCGGTCCCGGTCCGTCCCCAGTGCGGTCCCTCACCCCCCCCCCCCCCCTCCCCGCCGCACAGATGTACGGTCGCTACTCCAAGGACCTCGGCCAGTTCGCGAAGACGGAGTCGAAGCGGCTGCGGGCGGTCGAGAAGCAGCGCCGCGACGACGACAAGCAGCGGCGCAAGGAGCTGCTCTACTACCGCGGCAAGTGGAGCCGCCGCGCCGGCCGCACCTTCGGCGTCCTCTGGCGCAACACGTTCGCGCGCCTCGGCGAGGACTGGGTGTTCCTCTGCGTGCTGGGCGTCCTCATGGCCCTCATCAGTTTCGTGATGGACTACGGGATCGCCATGTGTAACCGAGGTGAGGTGCGGGGTGACGAGGCACAGCGGGATCGGCGGGGCAGTGTGGCCGTGCACACTGCACAACTGCACAGAGCTGTGTCGGGTGGGGCGGAGGTGCACATCATGGGGTGGGAAGAGGTGCATCGCTCAGAGCACTGCAGTGTATTGTTTTTTATTCGTAATTGTTAGGTGTTGCAACTAGCGTGTTGCTGAGTTTGCCTCTCCCGTTTTTCGCCAATGTCTGCTTAATGCATTGCGCCACTTAGGAGAGAGAGAGTGTGGTGAATTGATCGGCGGGTAAAATGTCCTGTACGATAATTCACCTATGGAGTGACTCTGGTCTCTTCAGTGGCGGCGCTTGGGTTAAAATTTAGGTTAGGCACTGGCATAGGGCTATATGTTAGAACCTTACAACCTAAAAAATTGACTATATCTGCCGAATATATGCCAACCTTTGTATATAGGAATATACAGGACATCTTCGCTCCCTTCACGTCACGATAAGTCATGCAATGATTAGGCATTAAATTTTCGATCTTTAATGGTGCTCGTCCCGTCTCGATCAGATGTGTAGACTGTAGAAGCTGAGACCCAGTGGCATAGAACCAAAACCGCCGGCCGGTTTTTTCCCACGATCAGACGGCTACATTGCCAAGTCGGGTATTTTTCGCCCGTTGGTAGGCGACCAGCAGAATACCTACCCGGAGAATAAGCGCACCCACTAACAAGCGTGAAGCTGAAGTGAGGCACTGCCTCACAGCCCAAGGTTTGGTCATGGCAGGGAAAGGCCAGCTTGGCCAAACAGCATGGTTTATGCCTACATTAGACATTTTAGCTGGCATTCTTTTCAAAAATGATAATGTTACACTGCTCACTTTTTAACCTGCGCAGGGCCGGGGGAGGGGGTGTTTGAACACCCCCCCCCCCATGCCGTTGTTTTTCGCAGATATCTCAATAACGCGTTTTTGGCAAACCTGTTCATGCATCTTTACCGCACATGTTGTGCATTCAGACCCAGGGCTCTGAAGGTCAGGTCACCAGGTCACGTCAAGTGACCTCACCTCAGAAAAAAATAATAATGCTCGTCATAGCGACACCGAATGAACGGTTGCCTTGAAACTTTCAGCGATTGATAACATTAACAGTATCTATAAAATGTATATCTCAGAATTTTGATATCCGTGGCCTAAGGTCAGGTCAATTTTGCGGCCTCTCCACCTATAAAGTCAATGGGAGAAAATTGAAAAGCGTCTGTTTTGCACGAACGCCATTCTTAACACTCTCAAACATCGGAATGCAGGTAAAATTGACACACTGAACCGGAAAATGGCTTTTGTGACCCCTCGTTATGTCCCCAAGGTCATCTCAGGTCACGAATAGTAGGTATCTAACAGTTTTTCGCTAATAACTTCTGATAGAGGCATGCTAGAGCGATGAAAATGACTTAAATGTATTCAGCTCGAGGATGCGGATCGACTGATTTGCAACATGACCTTTCCCGGTCAGGTCATGACCATGACCTTGACCTGAGGTCACATTTTTAAGCAAGGTCAAATTATAGTTCATTCGACGCATCTCGACGAGCGGAACATGATGCTGGCAAAAGAAATGTAGTAGCTTTTTTGAGTCAAAAGTTATTGCCGAAAAACACTTTTCGTAAAAACGGCTATTTTTGGAGTTTTCCCCTCTGGAGGCTAAACCGTTGACCTGAGGTCAAATCTGAGGACATATCAGCGAAACAGCGTTACAAGAGCTATCGAATGAGCTTTTCCGCGGCGCTGTAGCTCTATCGGTTCCCGAGTTAGCCGTTGGCAGTTTCCAAAATGTTGAAATAGCCAATATTTTACCTTTGGTGACCTCTGGTGACCTGACCTTTGACATGACCTAAAAAGTTACCGAAGTGTTTTCGTCCTTATTTTGGACGTTCTTTCGAATGCCGCTTACTGCGTGTCGCGTACGTGGCCCAGGAGCCGAGTTAGAAGGGGGTTGTTGAGACACCCCTCCCCTACGGCCCGGCGTGGAAGTCGCGGAGCGCCTCCCAGGTGAAGGAAATTTGCCCGAAGGTGTAAAGATAAGACATTTGTGCTTTATTTTAACGTTATAGCATCCTGCGACTTTCAAAGGCCTCCGACATCTACTGTAGCTCTGACACGGTGACAAAGTTGCAAAAAAGTGACTTGAGGTTGGGTCATTCAAAGTGACCTGGTGACCTGACCTTAAAAGTTAGGAGACTCAAACCTGCGCACCATATGTAGAATTGATAGGAGAATAGTCATACCAAATTTGCGGCGCTACGCGCCGCGATTTTCCCGCTATTCACGAAAAACTTCGGGGGGGGGGCGGATAACCGCCCCTCGTTGGTGCGCGGGATATAGGAGGTAGAACAGTTAGCCGTTTGTTTATATCGGTGACCTTGAAAGATGACGTCAGCGGGTGTCTGCCAATCTTCGTCAATACTTATCTTTGAGGATTTTAGCCTCGGCTCTAAGGCAGTTTGATATATTAACCTTTGGGCTCCCTTAGCCCTCGCCGGACCTATTGGTTTTCTAGTCTACATACGCGCCCGCCGAGGGGGGGGGGGAGGGGCGGGAACGATCCCCTCGCCGTTTCGCCTCTGTTGGAGCTAGCGCGTCGCAGAAAAAACGAGCGTGTGGGCCGTTACAAGACGCAGAGATTGATACCCGATTTTAAGGTCCTAGGTCAACCGGTGTCCTCTGAGGTCAAGTCAAGTGCCCCAAGGTAGGGTTCAGTTTTTGGTGGATGACTTCGCAAAAAAAAACGGCCGAAGAGCCGCGATTTTGGCAACATCGTGTTCGCCTCGCTCAGGCGCGTAGAATGATATACTTTTGTTTGGGTCAGATCAACTTAGGGTGTTGACCTTAGGTCACGGTCAGGTCAGCGCCCCCAGGTCACGAAGCTGGTCGAAAGAGGTCATGTCGCATATCATTCGATTCGGCAGGTCTTCCTGAGTCTATTGGTGGCTTTCCCGACTCGCTAGCTTAATTTGATCGTGAGTTATCGACGAAAAACTGATATGACCTTGATGACGTCACAAATGACGTCACGCAAGGTCAACATTGCAAAAGTGACGCATCTAACCTTGCAAGAAGTGCACTAAATCACGATTCTGTGTACTTAAGATAGTTGGAGATCGTACCCGCCTTCCCGGTGCCAGAATAGCAGTTTTCATTTTTACCCATTGACTTATAATGGTGAGGTCACGAAAATGACCTGGCCTCATATGACCTTTAGGAAGAATCCGAGATATACAAGCTGTGAGACTCGCAATGGATATTAGATCTTGCTAGTTTCATTTCCCTGTGAAAGCTCCTCTGGCAGCGAGGGCGTTGCGATGTTGCGACATCTGAAGACCGTGCAGAGGTTCACTTATAACGTCATAGGTCAGTGACCTGACCTGACCCGAAAATGCGGTTGGTTTTAGAAGATTCGACTTGAATCAAAGGTCAGGTATGCCAAGCTTCAGCTCTCTATCGCCAGCGTGTTCGGAGCTATCGTGAAAAAAACTATGGGGGGCGACACCTGCCCCCCCCCCCCCTGGGCCGGCGAGGATTAGAGCCTAAAAAGATAATTTGCTGCACAGCAATGTCTTTAAAATCTACAAAACATTGACACCCCGTGACGTCATCTGTCTCCTGAGCCCTCCCTATGTGGCAACATAGAACCGTAAGCCCCTGCTACCAACCTTACTGCATCTGTTATAGTGGTGCCAATCGAAATCTGGACATTCGGAGTTCCTATTTTGTCCGATGTCCAATTCGGAATTGGTTGGACAAAGGTAGCAGTCTGGACAACATTGGATGATGGCCTGCTACACTTACCTAACCATTTTTATAAAGTAATCGTGTAAAGTATTGATTGGCGAATGGAAAGCTTGTTAAGCTTGCAATATAATGAACACTTTTCGGCTGGTAAAATTACATGATAAGCAATTTAAATGACAGTTTTGAGTGTTGATTGCTGCGTAATTTTCGGACATATTTGGAAGAATGGCTGACTTTAACATTTTTAGACGGAAAATCAACGAAATGTCGGACATTAGACGGATACCTATTAGACATACATTTTCTAAAACTGGCATCACTGCTTTGGGTCGAAAATATTGGCAAAAAAAACTGAGAGCGTTGTTTTTTCGGAGTTATCCCTGTCTTCATTTAAATTCTCACACTATGCTCAAATTTCCCCACGTTAAAAGTTATTTTGCCATATTTAAAAACGAGGTTTCAAAAGCGAATTTCTTGGATTGAAGGCACTGATTAGGTCATTGTATAACAAAAGCCGTAGCGTATTAAGCGCTAGTAATGCAAGATTGTGCGCTGCAATGAAGTTGCAATGACGTGTTGCTGGGCGTTTTTACTTGATAAATTGATTTTTACAGTGTGCGTCAACATCTTCATTCTCTGAAACTTTAAACCCCGTTCATATGATAGCCCTTTTAGTTACGATAATTTCCGTCATTGGTTTTATTGTCATGCCACTTATGGATTTTCCGTATATTTGTTATTCACACTATGTTCAAATTGCCTCACATGTTCAAATTACCCCACCCTACCCTAATGTATAAACGTTACGTTCTTACCCTTGCTCTGACTTTGACCTGACCTGTAAGCTATTTAGTCAAAGAAAGTTATGCCTTAAATTGGCATAACTTTAACAAATTGGTCTTGTTGAGAGGTTTTGATTGCTCTTTTCCCCGTCTTTCTACAACCATCTGTTCGAATGTGAGTCGGGGGGGGGGGCAGAATCTGTCCCCCAGCGGAGCACATATGGTTGAATGCCCCAGCGGGGCGCGTATGGTTGAATGGCCCAGCAGGGCGCGGGTGAAGCAATGAATTTACTGTCATGATGTTACATCGGAGCAGACTTGTAAACGACTCAATTTTTTTTTTAGTCGATTCTTTGTTTGAGTCTGGAAATTTGAATCGATTCATCAAACGACTCATGATGTTAAATTTAATTGATTCGAATCAACTCATGACTCATCAAGTTCCTCGATGAAATGATTCGAATCAACTCATGACTCGAGCAACTAGCCAACGGAATGATTCGAATCAACTCATGACTCACACATTTTGATGAATCGATTCAAATCAACTCATGACTCACACGACATTTTTATTGAACTTATTTCATTCAACCCATGACTCACTATAGGCATTTGTTGATTATTTGACTCAAAGCTATGATAAAATGAATATGCCGCATACCACAATTGTATTCCTTTACATTCCGCTCCTTTACATTATTCTGAAGATTCTATGATGTCATAAAACAAGTTTCTTTTTAAACTTCTATTTCATGGAAAAATGTGCATTTTGTGGTTTATTGGCAGTTGAGCATCGCAATTTTGCGGTTTATAGGTGAGTTTATTTATATTATAGCATAGCCTACAGGTAGTTTATAGGCTATAGGTAGTTTGGGCGTATTTGACTCTATAGACGCCCAAACTCTTATGCTGTTGATTGATTATTGGGACCAAATTGGGACTGGGAGAAGGGGAGGCAGCCGCAGGTGTCAATTCTGACTTCTGACATGTAAAATGTAGGTACCTAGGTAGTGTAGCAGGCACTTGGTTTGGTAAGACTAAGTACCTACCAACTGCCAAATGCTTTTGGCTCATTAGGCGCCTGTGCCTGAGCCTCTGAGGCTCTTGTAAGTCTGAAATATGGAGTTAAGTGATGGCTAAAGCTGAGGGGGTGATCTAGCATTGATTATTAGGGTGTTGATGGTGACTTGTAAACGACTCAAATTTTTTTTGAGTCGATTCTTTGTTTGAGTCTGAAAATTTGAATCGATTCATCAAATGACTCATGATGTTAAATTTAATTGATTCGAATCAACTCATGACTCATCAAGTTCCTCGATGAAGTGATTCGAATCAACTCATGACTCATCGAAAAACGGTTTGATTCTGAGTCGATTCACGAATCAACTCAGAGTCGTTTACAAGTCTGCATCGGAGAGACATAAACTGCGGACAGTGACAGACAGGACTAATGGTCTGTCAGCGCGGATCTGGCCGTACCGTGAGCGGATGACCCACGCTGTGCTGTGCTGTTCCAGCTCGGATCTGGCTGTACCGCGACCTGACCACGCACCCGGTGCTCCAGTACATATCGTGGGTCACGCTGCCCATCGCGCTGATCCTGTTCTCGGCCGGCTTCGTACAAATTGTCTCCAGGTCGGCCATAGGTGAGTGCGCGGTGGTGTCTTCACAATGTTATCATTGGGTGTCACATGCACGTCCGCGCAACACGCCTGTCTCGACCGGACAAAGGCTGTATATGTTACAGTGTGTCCGCGAAATCCGTGAGTTCGCAAAGTCACTCGTTGGTCCTAGGGACTCCGCGGAGTCTTTTTTTTTATAGACCCCTGAGTGTATGCTGGTGACACCCCTCAATTATGACTCCGCGGAGTCACTTCAACTCTCGTGAATCCGCGAAATCACTGCCGTGGTTCCGCGGATTTACTAGAGTTTTCAGTGCGTCCGTGAAGTCACTGAAGAGTCGCGGGGATCTGCGAACTTCCTAGTTAACCCGCGCATGACTGGGGTATTTTCCATAACGCGAGTGACTGGGGGGGGGCTCTCCAGAGCCCCCCCCCCTCCTATCTCCGAAACTACCTGGCCGATCGTCAAAATTCAAACGGCGTCTGATAGCCCTGGAAAAAAATGTCGAACGAAACCTATTTTCATTGACCTCGATGTCACCGATGACGTCACAGGTCAGGTCAAAGTAAAAATTATCGACATTTTTGTTAGTTCACAATTTAGGCTCTGACCGCCGGACCGCCGGTCCGATCAGGCTCATTTTTGGTTTACGCACTCCTTGACGGATGCCTTAGATACCCTGAGGGTACCGAACTTTTGCTTTGAATTTTTAAGGTCAAGGCCAGGCCATCCTAGGTCACGAAAATTGTATATCATGTATCGGTCACGTGACGCATGTTTTATGGTCCATTTTACTCGTAGATTTCGAAAATAGTGTCGTCTGTGTCATTTGAGATCATTGTCAGCTGAATTTACCGGAGGTCAGGTCACTTTCAGGTCAGAAAAGGTCAAATTTTGAAAACGAAATTTTTCAACAAAAAAGGTGCCTATCAGATGCAGTTTGAGCTCAGAAACACAATGGTGCCATTTATATTGCTGTACGACGTCAAAAACGTACTGAAAAATGGATTTGAAAAAACATAATATTGTAAAATTTTGACAATAATGCGAATAACTCGGCTATTTTTGAAGATATTGGGCTAAAACTTGCAAGTGTAGTTCATCAGTGTGTGTTCTATCACATATATTCCGTCTTTTGCGAAAAGTAAAAAACTTTTTGAAAAAAAAATCAAAAAATATATTTTTGTAATTGTAAATTAATATTTTTCAAAATTTTCAAAATTTCGAAAATTCGAGATAGCAGTTCGATAGCTACGTGTATTTGTAGTCCACTCATGCAAAGAAAATGGATCTAGCTTTAAAACTAAGCTCTTGAGAGCGTTTGCCGTATTTCAGTATTTTGCATGAAAATCGGCCGACATGACGTCACTCTGACGTCATTTCCGGCTAAACTATGGTAGCTAGAAAGTTGAAATTTTAACACAAGATGTCAAGTTGATGCCTCTGAGGGTACCGCAAGTTTCGTGTTGATCCGTCAAACGGTTTAGAAGATATTGCTGAAAAACATGAGGGGGGCTCTGTAGAGCCCCCCCCCCCCAGTCATGCGCGGGTTAACCCGCGAGTTGCTGGGGGGGGGGCGTTAAACGCCCCCACTTTTTTCGCCGGGCCATAGCATAAAAACGGCGCGCCGCAGGCGCGCCAAATTTTGGGTACCTGTAGGGAATTGATTGAAGTTTATTGTGACAAAGTTTAAAAAAAAATCGGTCGTAAATTTTTTTAGATATCGAGATTTTAGTGACGTCATGATTTCTGAGTTTTCGACCAAAAACGGCATATGTTCAAAAAATCATATAAAATCACAGAATATGCATACAGACATGCCGTAAACGCCATTAAAGGGACTATCCCACCTTCGAAAAAGTACCGTTTAGGATTCGGAAATGTTACTCATGATATTTTGACGAATTCTGCAAGTTTTTACGCGTTTTCATCGTATACGTTTTGAGATATTGCGACTTTCAGATTTCATCGTGACGTCATTTATATCGAATCTGTGACGTAATGAAGGATTTACTTCATGTCAATGTGAGGGGAAATTTATTGTATAGTATATTGCGACCAGGATATATAGTGGTTTCTGAACCTGGCCGCCAACTTGGCTATCTCAACTCAGAACTAATGCAAAGGTGGGACAGTCCCTTTAAACTGCTAATACCATAAACAATCAAATGGCTATCTCCGATTATTGATTATCGCTCCGCATTTTCCAAAATCTTGAACTGAATCTTGGCAATTTCTCGTGACTACCTCACGACCATGATACATGCATTTCTTAAATTAAACTTTTTGAGCCAAACGCGTACACATATGACAAAATGAATGTCACCATCGTGTTCTACGCCCCAAATTACCCATAAAACATGTGTCACAGGCTGCGAATATCAGTTTTGATTTTCGGGGATATGTGCCTACCCGGTTGACCTGACCTTGACCCTGACCTATGCTTGACTGACCCCTACATGGAGCTGACACTCTTGTAGGCCTTATATGATGGATTGTGCACCGTTTTGACAGTTTATGACGAGAGGCGCCCATTGCGAAGTCCTGAAGTCCATGCTACTGAAAGCCCGATTTCAGGTGTTTGACCTGACCTTGACCCGACCTGTGACCTCAAAATTCAACTTTAAAGTATTCATCTGAAGCGTCTCGTCGCGTTCTTTCGTTTGCCGCCTCGTGCGTTTCGCTGCGCCTATTGGTTCTCGAGTTATCGGCTGGGGGCGTTTAACGCCCCCCCCCCCCCCCCCCAGCAAACGGTGGGTGGCGAAATACCCCAGCAACTGCCGGGTTAATCCGCGGACTAGCGATTCTTTTTCAGTGAATCCGCGAAATGCCGATTCTTTTCAGTCATATACGAGTTAAAATGATTGCAGCGGATTTCAGCTGTCACTATTAGCTAACACTATTCGAGGTGGGTGCGTCTGTCGTCCCGACACGGTGAACATACACACGGTACCTTCGGTCGCTCGTGAAACAAGCAGCTGATCGTGACGAAACTTTCCGTATCCTCGAGCTCATTAATTTTACACCTAACCTAAAAATTCCATGACCCCTGACCCAGCTGACTTTTTGACCCGTGACCTATTTCTCGAGACCATGTTTGGCCAGAATCGCGATTCGGCGTATGCCAGCTCAGATTATCCGCGCGGTTCCAGTCTTTTGTGGTTTTAAACGTCAAACATGTTGTAATGGTGCTGGTGCAATGCAGTATGGCGGATGACAAGGTCACGTTGAAGTCAGGTCAAGGTCAATGACCTTTGATGACCTTGGTTCACTTTTTTAGTTTTACTTGTTTCTAGAGCAGTTTTTGGAGCTGATTTCGAATTTAACAGCTATTTGAACATTTACAAAGTATTTGTGGTGCCTTCGTAACATCTTACGAAGCTGTCAGTGGTAGGCAACACCTACTTTGAATAGCAGGCAGGACGCCTATTGGTTGACCTGACCTAACCTAACCCGACCTGGCATATATTGCATGAAGCTATCGTCTGTGATCAAAACTAACATGAAACTCGTGATTAACACCCCGAAATAACACCTTCACTGTACGAAGTTCTAAAGAGGTCCAACACCCTCACTGTACAGTCGGGTACAGGTTGATGGTCCACTACTCTTTATCCACCGGGTTCCTATGGCCCAGCATTGGCAGCAGCCGCCTGGTACCGGTAGGCTGTGCCGCATGACCCGAAAGTTATGCGGCACAGTCTACCCACGCTGTTTGACATCGGCTCGGGTTGCCGGGTGGAGCGCTTTGTAGACCAGGGCCCCGTTTCATAAAAGGAATTACTTACGGCATTCCGTCAATCATGCCAGATTTGGCGTATTTGATGCCAATTCGGTTTCATAAAGCCGGAGACCGGAGTAATTCACGCCATCGAAATTACGGAGCTTCATTTACGGCAAATGCTCGATTCCGGACCAATTGATGCCATTTGGGTTTCATAAAACGACGTATTTAACGCCAAATATTTTATCATGTTCTTGATATCAGTGGTGTAAACTACGCACAAAAATGTTGCGTGAATTTGAATTAATGTTGAGATTCGAAGCCAATTTCTAATCCATTTTATAATGTTGAGCCCGAGAGGAAGAAAGAACAGCCGGAACGCGAAAAAGGAACTGCAAATCTTCTGTACCAGTCGCTTTTTTGTGGCCACTATCGGAATTTTGTTTATTCGCCGCGCCGCGCCACTTTCGTAGTTAGGCACTTCTGCTTAGCTGACTTTCTGCTGTTTTCATCAAATTGATTTAATAAAGGATGGTCAGCAAAATCACATTGTTTTTTCATAAATATTTTTTAATATTCAAAATAAACATAACTGTTTTATAATTTCTCGTAAAGAAATAAGTTTTGACATGAAATTGTAATTTGTAGGACGCTTGATAAATTACGGTACCTACGCAACTGTGCTTAGTTACGGAGGTGTAAACAATTCCAGTTGTGGCTTTATGAAACGGCTTCATTTGCGCTCCGTAGTTTGAAAGGGTGTGAATTACGGAAAGGTGTAAGTTACGGCAGAGTTTTATGAAACGAGGCCCTGCTGTTGCGTCAGACCAGGGCGAGGGGGAGGGGCTCGTCTCAGTGGTTGGCGTGGGCTGGCGAGTGGTGTGGGGCGTGTTGTTGGACCATGGGAACTGCTCGGGTGTGTATGGTTACGTGCTGCATTGCACATTTTGCGTCGCTTAACAATTGCATTTCTGTTTTTGCTAAGCACAATGCACAGAAGACCCAGCGAATATAATTTACTTTACTTGTGCATTGTGCAAAACGTGATTTGGCACGGTATCGAGGCAACCATAGGTCTTGTGTCTATGCATGATATTTAGGCAATACCACAGATAACAGTACTACTGTTAGCCGTGGCAATACCTTTATGAAAATGGTAGATTGATGCTAGATGTCAATTCGCCTATGCTAAATGTCGGCACGTATTTTTTCCCACGAATTTTTGGAGGGGGGATACGATCGGTTCTATGCGACAAGTGACCACACACACCCAGCCCCAGGTCCGCTCACTCCCTCCCCACATCACCCCCCTCCCCACACTACACTCCAGCCCGCCTCATCCACCAAGCCGAGCCAAATCGGCAGGCCTGACCCTTTACCCCCCCCCCCCCCCTCCCTAGCCGGTGTGACGCAGCGTCCGGTCAAATCGCTCTACCAGGCGACCCAAGCCGGTGTCATACAGTGAGGGTAGACTGTGCCGCATAACTTTCGGGTCGTGCGGCACAGCCTACCGGTACCAGGCGGCTGCTGCCAATGTTGAGCCATAGGAACCCGGTGGATAAAGAGTAGTGGACCATCAACCTGTACCCGACTGTACGAAGTTCTCAAGAGGTCCCGATTTTCCCAACTTCTTGGGTCATTGACCTGACTTGGAAAGTTAAGTAATGACCTTGGACTTTGAAATTGGATATATTCGTCTTTCTCTCGTCATAGGCAACACACTTGATTTTTCGGCGTTTGATCAGGGGTCGCCAAACAGCTGGGCCAGGGGTCCAATTGACCCCCTATACTATGTTGATTATGTGCATTAACATAGAGGCAGCATGCTCTCACCAGAACACACCAGTCAACATCTGTGCACAATCTGGCTACAATTCTAGCTTTGGTGACTCAAGGTAGTCAAGGTTGATCGTATGAGGAGGTCATAATGAGGAGGTCAAGAAATTGACCTGACCTTAGGTCATCGATATCGAAATTCCGAGATAAGCAAATTGTAGCTACCAATGACCTTATTATATCCTGCAACTGTCAAAGGACTCCGTCATCTACTGTAGCTCTGACACGGTGACAAAGTTGAAAAGTGATTTGAGGTCAGGTTTATTCGAAGCGACCTGATGACTTGACCTTAAAAGGTAGGGGGTTCAAATTTGCACACAATGTGTAAAATTGATGCGGGAATAGTCATGCTAAATTTCGCGATGCTACGCGCCCCGGCTTTTTTCCTTATTTACGAAAAATTTTCAGGGGGCGGATATAATATACGTCCCCCTCCGGTCAGTGCGCGGGTTAACTACCATTCGCAATTGTGAGCTTGAGGTCCAATCAGGTAGTTACTTAACTATTTACAGCAAATACCCACGTTTGAAGTGGAAGTGTGCGACGCACAAGTTTTTATAATCTAAGAATATATTATTTAGGAGAAAATATAAAATTATAAAGCTAGCAGGGTACCTACGTAGCAATGTAACATAAAACTTACCAAATGTCGCGAAGTTTTCATTCCGATAGACTGATATTGCCATGCCGGCCAACAGGGGCGCACCCAGGATTTTCCAGGGGAGGGTGCCCGGGCTCAAAAGGGCACCCTCCTCCGTATTCCGCTTGCCAGGGGGCCTTTTCTCTATCGAGGGGCCGGCAAATGGCCTACTTTTTGACGGCCTCTATGTTTTTGTGATGTTCTTAGCGTTATAAGTAAAGTTTAACCCTCGCCCTGGCAGGGGGGGTTGATGCGACCCCCCCCTAAGGTTTTTCAAAGATAGCGTAAGATCGGCGGCGCGCAGCGCCGCTGAATTTGGCAAAGCGGCGGCCAACGCACAACAGTACCACCATATCGGCAACATGATTCCAATTGTCTTTGAGCCTCTACGAATAATCGGCATAAGAACTAAATAACGTTTTTTGGACATTCTCTGAAAAAACGAGTCGGTATTCCGCGGATTCACTGAAAAAGAATCGCTATTTCGCGGATTACCTAGGAAGTTCGCAGATCCCCGCGACTCTTCAGCGACTTCACGGACGCACTGGAAACTCTAGTGAATCCGCGGAGCCACGGCAGTGATTCCGCGGATTCACGAGAGTTTATGTGAGTTCGTGGAGTCCGTAAGGAGTTCGCGGAAACTAGTAATTTCGCAAACTCACGGATTTCGCGGACGCACTGTAACATATATACTGTATAGCCAGTACATACATTGCCTCTACCGGTACCTACAGCTGCCATCCGCTTCCCGGTTCGGGCTTAGCACCGCTGATGGTTTATTCGACAAAAGCTGAACCAAGGCCCTAAATACAAGCTGAACCTTTGCCGCTCTTGCGCCGGTTTTTATGCATGTGCCAACAGGAACCAGCAGAATCTATTTTGCCGGCCCTATCTATAGTGGTATGATTTCGTTTTATATGATTCAGTTATTCATTCAAGCCTATGCTATGAATGACATGGCCGAAGAAAAGTAAGTTCCCATTTCGCTGCGGGTCGTTCCGTTCGGCCCACTTTTGTGTCACCAGTCATAGCTACTTGTGGGTCATAGCCACGCCCCGTGATACCACTTCTCCATTCCTCCGGAACTGTCACGGAGCGCCATACCCCCTCCCGACCCCTTCCGACCCCCTCCGCCGCCCACTGGACTCACTTCACCCCCAGCAGCTGCCGGGAGTAATTGTTCAATGACAGCGGGGGCAGGGCGCTGGGACCCCACCCCCCACCCCTCTCTCGTCGCGTTTCTATCGGCGTCTGGACGGTTTGACGGTGTGCCTCGTGCCGCCCCGGCTGCCGCAGGCTCTGGTATTCCTGAAATGAAGACGATCCTGCGCGGCGTGCCTCTGGGCGAGTACCTGACGTTCCGCACTCTGGTGGCCAAGGTGGTCGGCCTCACCGCCTGTCTCGGCTCCGGCATGCCGCTGGGCAAGGAGGTCAGTGCACGGAGACGCCGGCCCGCTGGACGGCAGTGGGACGGCATGGTGGTCGGCAGTGGGACGACATGCTGGACGGGAGTGGGACTACATGGTGGACGGGAGTGGGACGACATAGTTGATGGACGGGAGTGGGACGACGTAGTTGATGGACGGCAGTGGGACGACATGGTGGACGGGAGTGGGACGACATAGTTGATGGACGGCAGTGGGACGACATGGTGGACGGCAGTGGGACAACATGGTGGACGGGAGTGGGACTACATGGTGGACGAGAGTGGGACGACATAGTTGATGGACGGGAGTGGGACGACATGGTGGACGGGAGTGGGACGACATGGTGGACGGGAGTGGGACGACCTGGTGGGTTGCAGTGGGACGATATGGTGGACGGCAGTGGGACGACATGATGGACGGCAGTGGGACGACATGCTGGACGGGAGTGGGACTACATGGTGGACGGGAGTGAGACGACATAGTTGATGGACGGGAGTGGGACGACATGGTGGACGGGAGTGGGACGACATAGTTGGTGGACGGCAGTGGGACGGCATGGTGGACGGCAGTGGGACGACATAGTTGATGGACGGGAGTGGGACTCCATGGTGGACGGGAGTGGGACGACATGGTGGACGGCAGTGGGACGACATAGTTGATGGACGGGAGTGGGACGACACGGTGGACGGGAGTGGGACGACATGGTGGACGGGAGTGGGACGACATGGTGGACGGCAGTGGGACGACATGGTGACGGGAGTGGGACGATATGGTGGACGGGAGTGGGACGACATGGTGGACGGGAGTGGGACGACATGGTGGACGGGAGTGGGACGACAGAGTTGGTGGACGGGAGTGGGACGACATAGTTGATGGACGGGAGTGGGACGACATGGTGACGGGAGTGGGACGACATAGTTGATGGACGGGAGTGGGACGACATGGTGGACGGGAGTGGGACGACATAGTTGATGGACGGCAGTGGGACGACATAGTTGATGGACGGGAGTGGGACGATATGGTGGACGGGAGTGGGACGACATGGTGGACGGGAGTGGGACGACATGGTGGACGGCAGTGGGACGACATAGCGCTATCCGGCTGGGACGGGGCGCCGGGCCGCGAGCACTGCCCAGGCTCAGACTGTAATACCCACAGCTACCTATTGCTACAGCTTCAGGACAACGGGAACAACGGAAGGGACGGGAGGACAACGGGAGGAACGGGAGAAACAGGAGGAACAGGAGGGTAACGGGAGGTGGGGAGCGGTGCGACAACTGCGTCAGAAAAAACGGGTAGCCGTGCGAGGATAACTGGCAGCGAGAGAAAACAGCGACGAACATTCACATTTCGCTTTTCCAACAGAAAAAAACGTTTAGCAATTATGCTATACCTCCTGAAATCCGCATGTACAAGACGCTTAAGCGATATTAACGTGTTTTTAAGAGCTTTCCAATCATTTTTGTGTGGCTTATTTTTGTGTTTGTTTTCTCAACTTGTGCCACTGGGGAAAGTAAACTGTTCAATTTAGCACGCTCTGATCTTGTCGATGACACCGCCTTTTCCTGCTCGACACGTTTCAGGGTCCTTTTGTCCACATCGCTAGCATCGTGGCCACCTTGCTCACGAAGCTCATCACCTCCTTCAAGGGCATCTACGAGAACGAGAGCAGGAACAGCGAGATGCTGGCGGCGGCCTGCGCCGTCGGCGTGGCCTGCAGTTTCGCGGCTCCAATCGGAGGTCAGGGAACGGGGAGGGGCATCACGACGGAGCGAGCGAAGCGAAGTATTTCGTTATCGGAGCGAACAAGCGAAGTGAGAAAAGCAAACCTTTTCGTATAATAGCAGAAACTAGAGTGACCCGCGTGCTCGAAACGCAAAGAAGAGTTATTTTCGACCCATGAGTGTTGAGTTGGTCCCGTATCGACTGGTTGCCCCTTGGCTGAGAAAGAGCAGAATCATTTCGATCGATTCCCTTTTGACAATTACATTTTGTTTTGGAGACAAGATGCATCTCACAAAGGTGCCTGCATCGGATTATCATGCGTTCTTCTCTGAAAGGATTCGAAAACTGGGCAATGTTATTAAAAGCAACAGATGAATTGCGCTAAAAAAAGATCACGTAATGGTTTGGAGCTGGTATATTTTGAAGAATTTGTTGTTTATCATGCGCAAATGATGAGTGAATCATAGTAAAATCAAATGCTATAGTTTCAGCCGTTTTCATGACGGCCAACTGGAACAAATTTGGTGTAGATTTATTAGGTGCACGTTTGGTGAGGATTTGGTTCAAATCAGGTTCAGGGGGGGGGGGGGGTATGCACCCTCCTATGGTTTTTCGCAAATAACTTGCATAAAAAGTTAACTTGCATAAAAAGTTGATCGCGACGAAACTTTCAGTTGCCTCGCATTGATCAATTTTACATCGACTCTAAAAATTTCATGATCATGACCCAAATGACCTTTGACCTGTGACCTACTTTTCGAGACCATGTTTGGCCAGAATCGCGATCCGGCGTATGTCGGCTCGCATTACCCGCGCGTCTGCAAGCTTTTCTTGGTTTCAAACGTTCAAACATGTGATTTGATGTTGGTCCGATGCATTAGGGTGGATGGCAAGGTCACCTGAAGGCCAGGTCAGGTCATTGATCTTTGTGACCTCGGCTTACTTTTTCGAGCTTTACGTGTTTCTGGGCTAGTTTTTGGAGCTGAATTTGAATTTAGCAACCATTTGAACATTTACAAAGTAGTTATGGTGCCTTCACAACATGTTACGAAGCTGTCAGAGGCGGTTGACACGTACTACGAATACCCGTCACGATCCCTACTGGCTGACCTGACCTGACCTGACCCTACCTGGTCTAAATGCTTAAGATATCATCGGTGATAAAAACTAGCACGGTATTCGTGATCAGCACCCCGAAAACCCCCATAGCAGCCACTAACGACTTTCTAACAGGTCCCGATTTTCCCGACTTTGAGGTCATTGACCTGACCTGGAAGGTCAACGGATGACCTAGGACCTTAAAACTGGGTATCATCGGCTTCCTCTCGTGACGAGCAACACGCTCGTTTTTTCCGCGAAGCTCTAGCTTGACCAGGGGCCACACGCGAGGGGGGGTCGTACAACCCCCTTTTGCCTTCGAAGGGCGCAAAATGACCTGTGCCGGCGAAGGTTAGTAGCTCTCAGCTAGGGTTGCACTAGTTGCTTACATACTTGCCTTGTCATATCACCTGACATTGTCATCGATTTAAAACGTAAAATAAGTTCATTATATGAACGGACATTTGTTATCAAAGAGATTAGGTGCAGATTTGGTGAGAATTAAGTTTGCGTGATTTGCGGAATATCGTTCTAGAAAAAAACGACACTACGTTTTTGTTTTATGTTTTCATATAAACTTTTAATTAATATAAACGTTTTATTAACTTTTATATAAATATTAAAGAAGTTAAATTAATTGATACCTTTTTTCTAGAACGATATTACGCAAAACACGCAAACTCGCAAAAACGTACGCAGAAAACGCATAGTGTAGCCAGGCCTTTAGGTGCACTCACCAGATATTCCGTCGTGAGAACGGCTATTTCCAAGGGAATCATTTTCAATTGCACTGAGAAAATATTCACTCCAAATAAAAGAGCAAAGTGGCTCCATTTTGAACCCTGATTTTAGAGTACAAGTACTCCACTTACTCTACTAAAAGGTGTAGCATGACTTCTTTTATTATGAAATGTGTAGGCATACCACCATTAGAGTAAACCACCACTTGAAAAAAAAGAGTAAATGAGCGCGTTCCTCATGGTAACCTTACACCACGTAGAGTAGTGGTAACCCTAGGTAGGTGGACTACTTCCCTGGAAAAACTGTCGAGCGAAGCCTAATTTCATTGACCTCGAGGTCACCGATGACGTCACATGTCAGGTCATAGGAAAAAGAATTATCAATATTTTGGCTTGTTTACAATTTAGGCTCTGAATACTAATACATGAGCATTCAAAATACCAAGAAAATACAATAAGCATCAGGATTGAAATAGCAAATACCGGGTTGGTCGGTTTAGTGTCGGTACACCAAAAAGCTGCCATCCAATTGACATCTCCAGTATAGGACACTTGCGTGGCTAAGGGGCTCGAGCCCAAACGTGTTGTCATTATAGCATTGCGTGTGACAGTCAGTAAAGCAGTAGACACCAGACCGGATGACAGTATGCAAATGATTGTTCTTTTATCAAGATGACACCTGCAATCCGTATGGTGCTCGTATATATGTACAGTCTGTCTTAAAAGTACCGCGCAAAGTGACGGTGGATCCATCAAGCCTGACCGAGGAAGGGCCTGCTAAATTTGGAGTCACCGAAGGAAGTGACATCCTCGTCCATCCCCCAGGTCAATTGGTTCGGTGACTCAAATTTAGTGGCCCTTCCTCGGTCGTACAGTCTGTCTTAAAAGTACCGCACAAAGTGACGGTGGATCCATCAAGCCTGACCGAGGAAGGGCCTGCTATAATTTGAGTCACCGAAGCAATTGACATCCTCGTGCATTCCCCAGGTCAATTGGTTCGGTCACTTTCAAATTATAGCCGGCCCTTCCTCGGTCAGGCTTGATGGATCCACCGTCACTTTGCGCGGTACTTTTAAGACAGACTGTACACTTCAATTCGTTTTTCATAACTGGGTTCACAACTGTGGCCTGTATCGTGTGTTGGCAGGCGTCCTGTTCAGTATTGAGGTAACATCGGTGTACTTTGCGGTGCGCAACTACTGGCGAGGGTTTTTCGCGGCTGTCTGCGGCGCCATGGTGTTCCGGCTGCTCTCGGTGTGGTTCCAGGACGAAGGTAGGTGCAGGGCGGCGCCCACACACGGTGCGCCGCCGCCGCGCCCGCTGACCGACCAGTGCGGCACGCCCGCAGACCGACCAGGGCGCCCGCAGACCGACCAGGGCGCCCGCTGACCGACCAGGGCGGCACGCCCGCAGACCGGCCAGGGCGCCCGCTGACCGATCAGGGCGCCCGCAGACCGACCAGGGCGCCCGCTGACCGACCAGGGCGCCCGCAGACCGACCAGGGCGCCCGCAGACCGACCAGGGCGCCCGCTGACCGACCAGGGCGCCCGCAGACCGACCAGGGCGCCCGCTGACCGACCAGGGCGCCCGCTGACCGACCAGGGCGCCCGCTGACCGACCAGGGCGCCCGCAGACCGACCAGGGCGCCCGCTGACCGACCAGGGCGCCCGCTGACCGACCAGGGCGCCCGCAGACCGACCAGGGCGCCCGCTGACCGACCAGGGCGCCCGCTGACCGACCAGGGCGCCCGCTGACCGACCAGGGCGCCCGCAGACCGACCAGGGCGCCCGCTGACCGACCAGGGCGCCCGCTGACCGACCAGGGCGCCCGCAGACCGACCAGGGCGCCCGCTGACCGACCAGGGCGCCCGCTGACCGACCAGGGCGGCACGGCGGCGCCCCGGATACATGTGGCGGTACTGCGGCTCCCCCTGGCCGGTCCCGCCGTGGTACATACAGGGCCTGGCTTCCCGGCGAGAGTTGACATGCTGCCAACTGGAAGCCGTCATGCTTCTAACAGTTAAATTTGTAATGTCCGGTATGACCCTAATTAGTGGCAGGGGTGTTTTCATCCGCCCTTCAGGTTTTTGGGAATATCTTAAAAATGGCCTGAGCTAGGAAGCTTACATTTTCTGACTTTTCTTAAAACTTAATTAGGCACATTCTCTTATAATTTCAAGTTGATACCTTTATTAGGGTCGATTCCAGGGCATGGGCTATTGGGAGGCCTTATTCGTGAAGCGAGTCATTGGGTTGAAGATCATGATGCTGATGCATTATAACTGTAATTATTCATTCTGTAAGCATATTAACATAATTTGTAGGTATTACAAATTCACAAGTGAAGAAGGGATGGATCATAATAAGCAATTCCAGGGAAAGAAAGGGGGGTCGATTTCACTCCCCAGCGTCGGTGCCCTGACACCGCCTATGAATATCCAATCTAATTTAGCATTTTATCACACGTTTTTTTTAAAGATATTAAGACCATTGCCAACCCGTTTCTGTGACAGCACCAGCGAAACACCCGATTACTATGTATTTCATGTACCTCCCAAATTCAATCACCTGTATCCGCCTATGAATTTCGAAATTATTATTTTTTATGCATGTCAGTTTCTGATTCATCCTGCATCGATCGGCAGTTGTTGCGTCAAAATTGGTTGAAAAACATGCAGGCCGTGGTGAGCAGTTGAAGAGCATCTAAAACTTGCAGTCCCCCTCCCTACTGCCCCCTAATTGCGTTTTTGGGACTTTTTCAAAATATAGCTCTCGTTGAGTGGAATCGAATGCCGTTCGAATTTTGAAAATCGGCCAGTTAGATCTTGAGATATCAAGGGGGGGTCCTAAACTAAACAGCCCCCTCCCCTGCCACTAATAGGGGTAGCCAGGAGCCTGCCACTAATAGGGATAAATCGGCTACGTTTTCTTCAAGAAATGTGGCGATTAGGTTTTGACCTTGATTGATTATCATTTTCAGAGACTATAACGGCCTTGTTCAAGACTGATTTCAAGGTGGACTTTCCGTTCGATCCCCAGGAGCTGTTTGTGTTCGCTCTGATTGGGTAAGAACCTAAGTGAAAATGTTTCTGGCTGCTCTGATTGGGTAAGAACCTAAGTGATAATGTTTCTGGCTGCTCTGATTGGGTAAGAACATAAGTGATAATGTTTCTGACCGCTCTGATTGGGTAAGAACCTAAGTGGTAATGTTTTTGGCTGCTCTGATTAGGTAAGAACCTAAGTGATAATGTTTCTGGCTGCTCCGATTGGGTAAGAACCTAAGTGATAATGTTTCTGGCTGCTCTGATTGGGTTAGTACCTATGTGCTGATGTTTCTGGCTGCACTGATTGGGCTAATACCTATGTGCTGATGTTTCTGGTTGCTCTGATTGCGAATTAGTACCTATGTGCTGATGTTTCTGATGGCTCCAGTCGGGTATATGCTCATGTTTTTTTTTTGCCCTGAGAAAGTGCATACATATTCACAAGACCATACACATTCTCAAATATGCTCTCACAATATAAATGCACATGCATCAACGGCCGCAGCACTTTAAATCCATTCTTTCTTAGGCTTTCCAGACTATACGTGCTGGTGTTTTTCTCACTATGCTCTTAACCCGCGACCCGTTGGGGGGGGGGGGGGGCAAAGGGCGCCCTGTGGTTTTTCGCAGATGACTCAGAAACGTCTGCGAATTTTTGCTCGCTGTTTTCAACACCTCTCCGGGCATCGCCTTTATACGGTCCGTGAAAAAGTCCTAGGTCATCTCAGGTCATGGGTTATAGAAGTCAAACTGAAGTCATGTTCGGCCACACTGTAAAAAAGTTTAGCACCTCCAAGCAGCTAAATGCACTTAAGTACCACGGTAAAGAACGAGCACCACCCACCGGCTTAAATTAAGCAGGCTAAGAGGGTGCTAATTGAGTTGTTTATTTTTAGGGCCATAAAAATCGTAGCACCATGGCTTCTGTATGGGGCTAACAAGATTTATTTATTTGTTTATTTATTTATTTATTTATTTGGGGTCAAGGACAACAGGCATACGTGGGCCCATGTAATGTCCAAGCACTCAAAATCAGTCAAATGTTACACACAAACACTGGGACAAAAACATTGCAACTACGATACAATTTTACAATTCTTTTATATATGTTGACACATTGGCCCTAAGTTCCCTTAAAGAGTCATGGAATACATCAGCATCAGTACACTGAAACAAAAACTTATTAACAAACGATGGTGCTCTAACAAAAAGTGACCTTTGTACCGCGTCTACTCTCGCAAATGGAACATGGAAGACACCACGTGCTTGTTCGGTGTTTCTCGTTGCCCTTGGCGCGATGAATAGAGGGAAATGGGCTAAAAGGGCTGCACAATCAGTATGATTTTTATACAATTTGGCAACAAACATAATGTCATATTGTCGACGCCTATTCTCTAGACATGCGACGCCAAATAATCGCAGCAAGTCACTGTAATCAATAGCTGATGGTGAGTCTTGACATCGAGTATAACAATATAGCCAATATAAGAAACGTTGTTGCACCCTTTCGATTCTGTCCAGGTACGTTTTTGCGGCACCTCCCCAAATAACACAACAATACTCGAGAATTGCTCTAACGTTACCATAATATGCTGTTAAAATGGGCTTCCAGCTAAATGTTTTGACCTTGTGACCGGTTTGCATCGATCTCATGATGAGACCCATGACTCTGTTAGCTTTTGATACTGTTGTGTCTATATGTTTGCTGAAAGTCAACTTGGTATCCAAAAAAACACCCAAATCCCGAATGGTTTCAACGATTTCCAGACAGGTCCCATTAATCATATAACTATAAACAATGGGATCACGTCTGAGGGTTACCCTAAATGACTTGCATTTATCAGCATTAAGCTTGAGTTTCCAGCTTTTGGACCAGTTATAAAGTTGTGTTAGATCATTTTGTAACAATGTGGTATCATTCTGTTCTGATATCACTGAAAATAACTTTATATCGTCTGCAAACATGAGACAGTTGGTTTGAACCATTCGTGGAAAGTCATTAATAAAAAGAGCAAAAAACAAAGGTGAAATAATACTGCCCTCTGGGGTACCCGAAATAACATTCTGCCATTCAGAACATTTGCCATTTACAACTACTCTCTGCTTACGCTGTGAAAGAAAAGACGAACACCATTTAAGTGCTAGTCCGCCTACACCATACGATTTTTGAAGTTTGTGAATGAGCAGCTGATGGCTCACGCTTTGAAAAGCTGAGGAAAAGTCTGTGTAAATAATATCCGTTTGCTTGCCATTGTCTAAGGAATCACATGCAGTACTCAAAAGGCAGGCTAGATTCGTTTCACATGATCGTCCTGGTATAAATCCGTGTTGGCATTCAGAAAGGACAGACTGAACATGAGTAAATAAAGTATCACGCACTACTTTCTCAAGTATCTTGCCAAAAAACGAAGTTATTGAAACTGCTCTATAGTTTGTGGGAAGGCGCCTTGAACCCTTCTTAAGTACAGGGACTATGTTTGCTTTCTTCCACTTCTCAGGAAAAATACCTTGCTCGATAGATAACATACAGATAATTGTGAGTGGAGACACTAGCTGACCCGAACACTCTTTTATCACACGAGCACTAATGTCGTCTGGCCCAGTAGCCTTATGGACATTTAAACTATCAATGATGGAGCTAACTGAAGATGCTGACACTTCGAACGTAAGCAATTCTGGTAAATCAAAATCAAACGCAGCTGGTAAGCAATCGATAGCTGGATCTGAAAATTTTGCGGCAAATGTACGATTAAGTAGATTAGCACGCTCTACATCTCCCGACACTTCAACAGCGTCATCCAGTAAAGTAGGGAGCTGACCTTTACCGCCTTTAATGCATTTCAAAAATGACCAAAATCTTTTGGGATTCTGCTTAAAATCAGCTGTAATGCTCTTCAAATATTCAAAATACTTCATGCATGATACTTTCTCTTAAATATCTTTCTGCAATTCCTGAAATAAGCGAGAGTGTCAACATTCCTATCTCTTTTCAGAGCCCGGAAAGCACATTCCTTATCAGTTAGCGCCTTTCGAACGTCAGCATCAAACCAGGGTGGGTAGTGGCGCTTATGAGGTACTAATTAAGATGCTTTTTAATTAGTACCTCATATCTAAGACCCGAGGGGTGCTAGAAAAATAGCGCCCTGGATGGTGTATTTTTAGCACACTGAGGGTGCTAGGGTCAAAAACCAGCCCTCAGGAGTTGCTACTTGTTTAGCACCTTAGCGCTTAGCACCTTCAGCTAGCACGCAAATAGCTCCTTACTATACCCCAACATACTAATGCAAGCATAACATTAGCATCTATGGACGTGAAGAGTCACGGTTGGGCATTGTGATGCAGGATGCTTTCGATCATCAGTTGTTGTATTATCCAATATCTTATCATTACCGATCACAGGCGGTCACACCATGAAGGGAGATGAACTCCTATGAATGTAGGTGTACACATTGACGAGACGATGTCAATTCGGAATTTTGGCAGAAGTCCCCTTAGGTCGCCCCACTAGCAGCACCATGAAGGGAGATGAACTCCTACAAATGTAGGTGTCCACATTGACGAGACGATGTCAATTCGGAATTTTGGTAGAAGTCCCCTTAGATCGCCCCACCAGCAGCCACGCCGATTGCGTGGTTAATCAATGATATTTCGCCGCTGCTTTTGTGACCTATATAATGAATTGAATTGGTTTCAGTTGTCAGTTTCGGAACAAAAGCGTTGCCAATAGTCACGTGATGAATGTTGCAGAGGCTTTGAAGATGCATCTTATCAATATTACTTCTGCCCCTCTTGGAAAACGCCAAAAAATGTGCAAATACAGGTATCAGTGGTGCAAAAAAAAAACATCAAAAATCGCAGTAATTCAAAGCCGTATGAAACAGCGCCACCTGCGTTTGACGTTTGAACCTTTAGTGCCCTAGTTGTACCCCAGGGCTCCATCGGAACAGGTGCTAATCATAAGCCGTTAGGCGGCACGGGCGGACATCGATAGCAGCGCCTCTATCGGTCACTAGGGAAAGCTGGGCTGTAGGCGACCGAAATACCGGCTGAGTTGTCACACGTTGAATAGGTTTATAGACATCCGTCTTGTGAAAAAGTTGAACTTTTGCCTTCAATATTTCTACAGGCAATTTTAGAAGTGTCTCCACATGGATTACAAAACCGTTTAGATTATTGTATTTACTTCAAGCCTTCCCTATTGTTCTTGACGATGATGCAGGAACTATTTCTAATTAGTGTTTCTAGCTTAGTAAAAGAACATATTGTGCAAACGATAAAAAAGCATAAAAGGAAGATTTTAAATGGAATTTTCTCTAGCAATTAATGATAAATTCTCTACAGATCAAGGAAAAGGTGCATGCTAACTGATAATTTAAAGTTCTTGGGGCCAGTTGTTTTCTTCTTTTCTTACGTCGCCCCAATGGCCGCGAATACACTTGTGATAACGCCTATCGCATCTTAATAGCAGTTGTTTAGCACAAAAAGTGCTAATCTTTTTTTACAGTGTTTACGCTAGCACCTAAGGATCCTAATTAACAGATATTTAGCACCATATATTGATATTTTCAAGATCATGAAACGGGGTGCTAGGATGCAGCACCTTCATTATTTTAAGGTGCTTTAATTAATCACGCTATTTTATAACGGGAGCTAAAACCAAGCATCCATTTCTCGAAGCATGCTTATATAAAGCATGTGGTGCTATATTTTAGCATCTGCTTTAGAAAATGCTGCTTATTTTAAGCATCAAATTTGTTTAGCATCTGAATAGCACCCTAGTAGCACCGATTTAGCGTAAAGGGAGCTTAACCTTTTTTACAGTGCATTTTTGGCCGAAAAAACTGTTCATGGAAAAAAAATCGTATAAACTCAGACACCTAGAATCGTATATCGTATAAACACCTAGAGACTAAAAAATACACCGTAGGTAGAAAAGGGATGGCCAACAAAATGCCTAACTCGAAATTTCAAAAATACCAAAATCTTTTGATAAGATTTTATAATTAAAAATTGAGATTTCTTGAGTTTTTTAATGTGAGAAAATAGAAGAAGACGGGATGTATCTGAGAAAACACTTAAAGGCAGTAGCCTTTACACATGCCAAAAATCACCAAAATATCTCTGAAACTGCGAAAGGTATATCCATTTGAAAGACTTAAAATATAGCGTCTGTACTAACGACGACGTCACATTATTTTCAGTTTTTGTGGGCTTAACCTTCGCCGGCCGAGGGGGAGGGGCGGGTGCCGCCCCGCCCCCCCCCCCACCCCATAGCGTTTTTCGTAATAGCTCCAAACACGCTGGTGGTAGAGAGCTGAAACTTGGCATACCTGATCTTTAATTCAAGCCGGATTTTTTTACACCAACCGCATTTTCGGGTCAGGTCAGGTCACTGACCTATGACGTCATAAGTGAACCTCTGCACGGTCTTCAGATGTCGCAACTTCGCAACGCCCTCACTGCCAGAGGAGCTTTCACAGGGAAATGAAACTTGCAGGATCTAGTATCCATTATGAGTCCCACAACTTGTAAATCTCGGATTTCTCCTTGTTCATATGAGGTCAGGTCATTTTCGTGACCTCACCATTATAAGTCAATGGGGAAAAATGAAAACTGCTATTCTGGAGCCGGGAACGATCTCAAACTAGCTCAAGCACACAGAATCGTGATTTTATGAACACCTTGCAAGGTAAGATGCTTCACTTTTGCAATGCTGACCTTGCGTGACGTCATTTATGACGTCATCAAGGTCATATTAGTTTTTCGTCAATAACTCCCGATCAAATTGAGCTAGCGAGTCGGGAAAGCCACCAATGGACTCAGAAAGACCTGCTGAATCGAATGATATGCGACATGACCTCTTTCGATCAACCGTGACCTAGGGGCACTGATGTGACCGTGACCTGAGGTCAGCACCCTAAATTGACCTCACTCAAACAAAAAGTATATCATTCGACGCGCCTGAGCGAGGCGAACACGATGGTGCCAAAATCGCGGCTCTGCGGCGTTTTTTTTTTGCGAAGCTATTTACCAAAAACTGAACCGTACCTTCGGGCACTTGACCTGACCTCAGAGGTCACCAGTTGACCTGGGACCTTAAAATCGGGCATCCATCTCTGCGTTTCGTAAGTGCGCACACGTTCGTTTTTCCGCGACGCGCTAGCTCCACCAGGGGCGAAACGGTATACGCCCCTCGGCCGGCGCGTATGTAGAAAACCAATAATAGGTCCGGCGAGGGTTAAAATCAGTCTAGGGTAATATTTATTATACTAATCCATCTCTTCCTGACTAGCCATGAACGTTATCGTCTCTTTTACGTGACTAATCAATCACAGGAACGTCCAGCGCACAGTAGGCGATCCAGGCGTTCTAGCGCTTCAGGGACCCAGGATACCACAATGAAAAATATAACCGTATGATGATTATTGTGTAGCCAGAATTCCTGGCAGGTGAAAAGCAATACTATTTTTGACATGCAAGGCACTTCCAAACCATACCCATCTGAACGCCACCCAGGCTCGATAGGCTGAAATATCCGTCCTTGGCCCGTGACCCGACCCTTGTTGTTGTGTGCTCTGTTACTCATGAATATCGCCCAAAATGCGTTTGAATGCAATTCAGGCTTGTACTTTTTACCTTCCCAAGCATCATGCATGCCAAATAAGTTTGGTTTCAAATTGCATATGCATTTGTATATCATTTGCATTATATCTACCCTTTAAAATGCATCGCTCCGATTCTGTTTAGTAGAATTTGGCAATGCGCAACTTTTGCCATCAGCATGATCCGGCGTTAGAATCCCCATTACCTTGTAGCGAAGCTCTTGTTCTCAATATTCTGAAGAAATTAGCTGCCACTTTTTGCGACTCTTCGAGTTTTTGTAACACATTAATGGTCGGTTTTGGGGGTAAGTCAGCTGGTGAGTAGTTAGGGGTGGTTTGGCACATCAGTATATCTCGAGAACCGCCCGACCGACTACAGTGGGACAAACATCCGATTTTTCTGATCATAAGCTACATTATTCAACCAAAAAAGTTACCAAATTTGCAAATTTTAGGGTACGAAAAGCCAAAAATAACTACACAAAAGTCGCTGTGTTTTCATACCTATATGTTCGGAAGTGTAGAACGTTGTCGTTTCTTGGACAATATCAACCAAATTTTGAGGCTAGCTTTCTCATGAGCCATAGTGTCACTACGTTTCAAATATAAGAGTTTTAGAAAATCATAGGCATGTTCAGGTAGGCAGAACAGAAGGGGGAATATTTCGTATGTCTCCGTTATATATCGTATGGTATGTTTTGCGATGATAATTTAAGACCTGCGATACGTAACAATAATGCATCTGCTGAGGAGAGGTGAATCTGTATGATATGTCAACCGTGTCAAGGTACCTGAAAAAGGTACCACCTCTGATACCAATCAACACTTTCTTTGTAAATTACCTCTTACCGCCCTTGCCCCCCCCCCCCCCCTTACAGACACAACACACTCACACATTCCTTTCACTCACGTCTTTCCTATCCACCTACTTAAGTTTGCATTGCCTCCTATTCCTCAAATATAGAAATGGAGAGACTTAGGAAACTGTAAATGTCCTGTTGAACACCTACATGGTCCTATGCAATCATATGATTGCATACTGGCCCACGTAGTTTGCAACGAATTGGGGTTTCAGTAACGAACGCCTAGTTGATCGGTACATCGGTTGATCTTGTACCTAAGTCATTAGTTATACTTTGGAAAAGGTCACAGTATTTTTCACTTTCAGCTTTCCATCCTGTCATAAGCCAATGGGGAAAGGCATTGTTTGCTTTATTGCAGATTGCAAAGAAAACACAGCAGTTTCTGATATGCAACACAATGTCAGGTGAAGCGCAATGAAATGGTCTTCAAAATGAGAGGCTCAGTTCTGTCGAGCCTAACTCGAGATATAAGCCATGACGTGCTAGAATAACGAAATCGCCTACTATGCATAGGCGATTCGATCTTTAACCAACTCACAAAATCTTACCTGAGCCCAGTTTGGCTAGTGTCACTTTGCCAAAGTGTCACTAACTGAAAGGGACACTTATGCTTACATTGGTCAGAGGTGTAAGGGTGGCTCAATACGGACCCATCTGTCGGGTCGCCATTTCCAGTGTCACTTAGCGGCAAAGTGCAGTTCTGTATGAACTGGACCCTGATATGAAGCCACTCATTTGTGTACTGTAGCCAGCATCCCGTGATCCGAAGGGCTATCAGAGTCTACGACCGACACCAATGATAGGCGTGCCATCCGCGTGTAGCAGTCTGCTGTGTTCTGTATTTCTCTGATGGGCGCCTTCTGTGTGGAACAGTCTGCTGTGTTCCGTATTTCACTGATGGGCGCCTTCTGTGTGTAGCATTCTGTCTGTTGTGTTCTGTATTTCACCGATGGGCGCCTTCTGTGTGTAGCAGTCTGTCTGCTGTGTTCTGTATTTCTCTGATGGGCGCCTTCTGTGTGTAGCAGTCTGCTGTGTTCTGTATTTCACTGATGGGCACCATTCATGTGCCGCCGGCTGGTTTGTTCCTTATTTCAGGGTTGCCACCGGCCTGATGGGTGCCCTCTACGTGTGGGTTCACCGGAAGTACGTCATGTTCATGCGCCAAAACATGTGCATGAAGAGCTTCTTACGGCAAAAGTGAGTTTATCATGCGCACTGTCCAGCACATCCTATCTGGTTTCCCTAGATTTCCTTTCCTTTTCCCCACATTTAGTTTTCCGATCTAACACTGGATAATCTAAGCGCGCAATGAACAGATTGGTACCAAGTGTGTCTCAGTCGTATACGAGCCAAATCAAGTAAACCACTATTCCTCTGTTTAGAAGTGCTCTCTGCATGTAAATACTCAGGGTCGCCTTAGTCAGATCTAACACATGATGCATGCTATTCCTTCGTGCCTGTACTTTAACCCTCGCCGGCACAGGCCATTTTGCGTCCTTCGACGGCACAAGGGGGGGGGGGGGTGGTACGACCCCCCCCCTCGCGTTTGGCCCCTGATCGAGCTAGAGCTTCGCGGAAAAAACGAGCGTGTTGCCCGTCACGAGAGGAAGCCGATGATACCCAATTTTAAGGTCCTAGGTCATCGGGTGACCTTCCAGGTCAGGTCAATGACCCGAAAACCGGGAAAATCGTGACCTGTTAGAAAGTCGTAAAGCGTGGCTGCTATGTGGTTTTCCGGGGTGCTGATCACGAATATCGTGTTAGTTTTGATGAGAGATGATGTCTTTAAAGGTAGTGTGCCACCTTTGAAAGATTTCCCATTTTATTTTTCCTAGGATAAGAAGCTTCTGTTTTTACCTAATATCGCAAAGAAAATCAAAAATGGGCCTGGAATAGTGCATTTTTCGCCTAAAAGTTTATCGGTTTTTCGATATGTATAACAACTGTAGTGGGCTGACCTGCAAACAGGCGTCGGCAACAACCGCGAATGCGGCGCACATGTGACAATAAGCAAAGGTCATTATAGAGTTACGACGTACGGGAATGAGTTATCAGCTGTCTAATCGTAGACAACACAATGTCGAGCCTTAAACTGTAAGCCTGTATTGGTATTGTTTCTTTTATTTGGCTGTCGAACATTATTTATGGTTTGAAATATGATTTTATGTAAAATAATTGATATGAAAAAGCCGTCTCTTAAGTTATGACCCCATTTCACCACACGCAAGTGGCAGAAATGACAATGATCAGCTGACGCATTTTTCTTGGCCGAAGTCAGAGCGCGCGGCCCGACGCACCACCACCGCACCACAAAGTATGAGCAGAAGCCGCGCCCAAAGCCAGGGCCCCGGTAACGTGAGGTAGCCGAGTCGGGGCAGCGTGCGCTGACCCAAGCCGGGGCCGCAGCTTTGGGCGCGGTCTACCGCATCCCCGCGGGCAGCCCCGGGCTATCACATGACACCGGGAGGACGCGCGGCCCCGGCTTGGGTCAGCGCACGCTGCCCCGACTCGGCTACCTCACGTTACCGGGGCCCTGGCTTTGGGCGCGGTCTACCGCACCACCTAACAGGCGAGTTCGAAACCGCAGGAGATGATGATGAACGGGTTTATCGAAACTTGATTGGATGAGCATATCGGTAATAGCGATTTCAGTGTGTGCATTTATTGTTCATAGTGGTGTGAAATGTGGTTGGGGTACGACCGACAACCCGTCGGGGCGAATTTCGCACTGGGGTACTCAAAATTTGAAGAATTTAAGACGTTTCCATGAGTTTTGAAGGTATGGATAAGTTCTAAAAATCCGGTTCTCCTTATCTGGGCCATTAACTCCATACGGTCCAGGAAAGCTGGCACACTACCTTTAAGCATTTAGACCAGGTCGGGTCAGGTCAGGTCAGGTCAGCCGGTAGGGGTTGTGACGGGCATTCGTAATACGTGTCAACCGCCTCTGACAGCTTCGTAACATGTTACGAAGGCACCAAAACTACTTCGTAAATGTTCAAATGGATGCTAAATTCGAATTCAGCTCCAAAAAACTAGCCTAGAAACATGTAAAACTCGAAAAAGTGAACCGAGGTCACCCGAGGTCACCAAAGGTCAATGACCTGACCTGACCTTCAGGTGACCTTGACACCCACCCTAATGCATGGGAGCAACATCAAATCACATGTTTGAACGTTTGAAACCACGAAAAGCTTGCAAACGCGCGGCTAATGCGAGCCGACATACGCCGAATCGCGATTCCGGCCAAACATGGTCTCGGAAAAGAGGTCACAGGTCAAAGGTCATTTGGGTCAGGGTCATGAAATTTTCAGGGTAGGTGTAAAATTGATCAATGCGAGGGTACTGATTTACTGAAAGTTTCGTCGCGATCGGCCGCTTTTTACGCGAGTTATTTGCGAAAAACCTTAGGGGGGGTTGCATCACCCCCCCTGTGCCGGCGAGGGTTAACCCTCGCATGTGTAGGGGGGCGGGTCGGATGAACCCCCCCCCCCCATGGTTTTTCGCGAATAACTCGCGTAAAATGCGACCGATCGCGACGAAACTTTCAGTACCCTCTCATTGATCAATTTTACACCTACCCTTAAAATTTCATGACCCTGACCCAAATGACCTTTGACCTTTTTTTGACCTCTTTTCCGAGACCATGTTTGGCCGGAATCGCGATTCCGCGTATGTCGGCTCGGATTAGCCGCGCGTTTGCAAGCTTTTCGTGAATTCAAACGTTCAAACATGTGATTTGATGTTGCTCCTATGCATTAGAATGGGTGTCAAGGTCACCTGAAGGTCAGGTCAGGTCATTGACCTTTGGTGACCTCGGGTGACCTCGGTTCACTTTTTCGAGTTTTACATGTTTCTAGGCTAGTTTTTGGAGCTGAATTCTAATTTAGCAACCATTTGAACATTTACGAAGTAGTTTTGGTGCCTTCGTAACATGTTACGAAGCTGTCGGAGGCGGTTGACACGTACTACGAATACCCGTCACAACCCCTACTGGTTGACCTGACCTGACCTGACCCGACCTGGCCTAAATGCTTAAAGACATCATCTGTGATCAAAACTAACACGATATTCGTGATCAGCACCCCGAAAAACCCCTTAGCAGCCACAATTTACGACTTTCTAATAGGTCCCGATTTTCCCGACTTTGGGTCATTGACCTGACCTGGAAGGTCAACCAATGACCTAGGACCTTAAAATTGGGTATCATCGGCTTCCTCTCGTCACGGGCAACACGCTCGTTTTTCCGCGAAGCTCTAGCTCGATCAGGGGCCAAACGGCAAGGGGGGTCCAACCGACCCCCCCCCCTACACATTGGAAGCTGGCAAACGCCGCACACATGCGAGGGTTAACCCTCGCCCGCACATGGGGGGGGGGGTGGTTGCCACCCCCCCAGGTAGTCTTTCTGCTCTGCACTCAACATTTTTAGAGCTAGAAGGCTGATTTTTCGTATAGCTGCTCCTCTATTCTTTCTTGATGTCCACTGAAAATTTCAAGTTTCTGTGATTTTTGGTTTCGGAGATATGACTTGTTTTTCAGGTCATGTCATGACCCAAATGGCCAATTCTCAACATCTTGCGTTTGCCATGGGCTTTGTGAGCTTTTGACACCCTGATTTCGGCCTTTTTTGCCAGTCTTACCTCCCACCTATCATGGAACATGTTGTTCGACGATGTATAGGGGTCAAGGTCAGGGTCAAGGTCAACCTAGGTCATCTAAGATAATTGCGTTTTAGGCAAGCTGTATTTACTTTTTGTGATTTTTTTTGACTGCATTTTTGGTAAAAGCTTCTCAGATCATGATTTCATGTAATATGGACCCAAAAACAATCGGTGCACACATCAGTATGCACACAGACACACACAGACATACAAACACATATGATTGACCTTGACCTAACTTGACCTGAAATGACCTCAGCAGCAAAATTCTGGTCGGGTAGTGTGACAAAGAGGCTCTAGCTGGCTTGGCACCAGAAAACAGCATCGTCATCGGTATTTGATAAGCAGCGCACTTGATATCCAACGGTGACCCAAAACAGCAACATTTTTTAGTTTGACCTGACCTGGAAGGTCAATGACTGACCTGAGAAGGTAAAACTGGGTATCATTGGATTCGTCTCTTCCCAAAGAATCTTTTTGGTCTTTACCGCTAAGCTCTATCTCCAACAGGAACGAAACGGCGCGGGGGGGGTGGCAACCACCCCCCCCCCATGTGCGTTCTAGGATGGGAAAATGGCATGTGCGGGCGAGGGTTAACCCGCGCATGACTGGGGGGTCCTTTACAGAGCCCCCCTCTCGTTTTTCGGCAATATCATGTAACCCGTTTGACGGATCAACACGAAACTTGCGGTATCCTCAGCGGCATCAACTTGACACCTTGTGTTAAAATTTCAACTTTCTAGCTACCACAGCTTGGCTGGAAATGACGTCAGAATGACGTCATGTCGGCTGATTTTGGTGCGAAATATTGAATTACGGCAAACGCTCTCAAGAGCTTAGTTTTAACCCGCGCCCCGCTGGGGGGGGGGGAGAATCTGCCCCCCCTCCCGTTTTTCGCCAATAACTTCTAAACGCGTTACGCCAGCGACGTCAAACCTTCAGTACCTTATCATACATTAATTTGACACGTTCCCTGAAAATTTGAGCGAAATCCGTCGGAAAATTTTTGAGAAATTGACGTTTTTGTGACGTCATGTTCGCCATTTTCGCCTCAAAAACGGCAAAATTTCAAATGCCGCTAACATCTTCATTTTTTAAGGAATCAAGACGTAACAAAAAGGTTATACGTGATTCTACTTTGTCTATCAAATGGCTATCTCGGTTTTTTGAAAATTTTGGATTTTTGCCCAAATTAAAAAAAAAACTGACTTTTTTGGGAAAATTATTATAAAATCAAAATTTTGAGTGTATCGAAAAAACGGAATATATGTCAGAGAAGTAGTCTATGTGCACCTATATACCAATTTTTAGAAGAATCGGTTCAAAAATGTGGGAGTTATTCAAAATTTTATGACGTCACGACACCAAAAATTTTGAAAAAATGATTTTTTTGGAAGTTCTAGACGTTGTACGGAAACAAAAATAGCACCATTCGATTCGCCGTGAAAAACTGCATCAGATAGACACTTCTTTAGGCCTTAACAACCAATTTCAAAATTTGACCTCACTTGACCTGACCTTGACCTGACCTCGACC